GGTGAGGGGCGGGGCCGGGCCGGGCGTGGCCCGCCCCGGGTCACTGAGGCACCGTGTGAATGGTGTGAGCTGTGCTGGTTAGTAATTAATGACGGGAGTGTCTTAAGGCGACCAGTAAAGTTAGTTAACATCTCGGTAATCAAAATAGTTTTGCTTTAAATAGCAGTAAATGGGCTGAGAAGGCATCAGGTTTGAAGTGGAGAGGCTGAAGAAGATTCTCAAAGGCACCTTCAGTTGAACTGAGTTTCTTCTTGTAACTCATGGAGCCGCACTCCAGACTACAAAAAGAAGAAAAAGGTTGGACCACGGCCTTCAGCTCCTTACCATAACAATCCTGCATCTTAAGAATTTAAGATAACAGAGATAAATCCCTCTTAAATCCCTTATATCTAAGAATTTGTCCATGTTGATTTTCTTAGTTGTATTTTTCCCTTGTGCTTGCACACCAGGACTTAGTCTCTGATGTCAATGCTGTGTTTGTTACTGTTACAGCACAAACTTAAAAACTGTCCTCCTTTTAAACACTTGGCAGTTACATGACTGAACCATACATTCCCTGGCTCTCTATCCTAACCCAAAGTTAGGCTCTCATTTCACCGAGCACCCAAACCTCTACTCAAAGCCTCCCTGGTATGGCAGTGCACTTGTAACTGCCACAAAAAAGCAGGAAGCCAAGGCAGATGATAACAGTTCTCAGACAAGGACAGTGTGTGGAATCTCATGTTACACTTGTGCAACAGGCAGCTGTAAAAAAACCCCACGTCTGTTCCTGGTTTCCAAGTCCTTGCTATTTTCACTTTCACCTTTGTCACCCTCACTTGTGGTTGAGATTCTGGTACTGGAGCTCCCACGTTATCACCGTTTGCCATTCACTGCATGCAACTGTTAAATCCATCATTGCAATTTCAAATTTATGTTGGGTATACTTCCATCTGAGTATCCTGCCTTTGCTTAAACTGCACCAGTCACCAAATTAACACCATCCATTCCAAATCTAAGAGAAATCCCCATTTTGGTCAAACTTACCAATAATGATGATGATGATAATGACAACAACAGCTATCAATATTGCCCACATCTGTGAAAAAAAAAGCAATACAACACTTACTACACACCATGCAAAGGCATCCAGTGCCCCGCAGGGTACAGGAAAACAGCCCCTACAAGGGCCTTTCAGCACTGTTTGTCAGATCTAACGTGCAAGCAAAGGTTCTTCAGTCAGCAAACTCAATCCACTACTGGCACTCAGAGATGGCAGGCCATGCACACAGGCAAACAGAGCAACATGGTTTTCCCCACATAAAGCCCGTCCCAAGTGAATGCACAAGCTGTTCTGTTACTCACCAAAGATGATTCCAACCTTTGGCAACAGCTACAAGTACAGGAGTCTGAGTGAGCTTCATCCACTTTCTAATACTTCCTGCACATTAATTCAAGCTACGCATTTTTAGCCTTTTCTTCTTGTTTCTCAAAGCCTCAGATTACTGACATGCTTCCCCTCTGGCCATTATCATACAAGATCCTGCATAGGGCAGCATGGCCAGTAATGCAGCTTGTTGTTACTTCACCCAGCCACTGTGCCATGCTTTAAAAACTGGATGCTGTGACTTAAATAACATTGCCTAAACTTCTGTCTTTTGAGACACAAACTGTAATAGTGTTACAATAGTGTTAGGATAGTGTGCAAGCACACAAGCCAAGGTTACCTTGCAGTTCTTCCACCAGTACTTCCTCTTCAGCTTGGCTGCGCTGGTTTCAAACTGGGAAGCCCCTGCTTGCAGGGCATCAGCGCGATCATCCAGCTCTGACAGCTTCTGATCTCGCTCCAATACCTTGTCCACATTCACTCTCATGATGTCAACAACCTACAGCAGTTCAATGCTCACAGTAAGTGACCACACAGTGGAACATAATCACAGCCAACAGACAGCACCACAAGGTACTCAATGTTTTCTCAGAAGCAGGAGCTATTGCCTTTTAGTACATGCAGCCATAAGCTTAAAGAAAACTATGGAATCCACCTGTGGCTAGAAGCCCTGAATGAATACTTTAAAAAGTCAGTAGTGCTGGCAGTCCTTCAAACCTGGGAAATAATTCCTGACTTGCTTCAGGAGTTAAGGAATATAAACATGATAGTAAAATCATGTCAAGAAATACTTGCCAGCCAGCCTGGCTTTTGGACTCCACAAAAATCACATTTGATAGTCAGCTGTCATGGCTACTGCTGAGAAAAAAAACCACCTTGTTCTTCGTAAAAAAAAGGTTTTTAATCTTTGCTTATGCCAAATCCTCAAGCACTAAGACTGCAGCTAATGCTTAGACACTGGGAACTCCTCTCTGCTTCCTCTTCATATAACGAAGGCAAAATTGCTTTGGCAAAAATATCCTTTCTAATTGCATAGGTTTGCAGCAGGAAGAGGATGACACTACTATTAAACCAAACATTTACCTCATCTACTTGGTGCTGAGTTTGCTGGAGCCGGCGATTGCTGCCAGCAGCCATATTTGAGCTTCCAGGGACACTGGCTGACCTGCAGTAAAGAAAGGCATCATTACACATCTGGCAGTCCTGAAAACTGGGAACTTGTACCCTTGTAATAAACACAGGGCAGTTTCTTACTGGAGAAATGGTGTTTTAACAGCTGACAGTGGGTGCAAGTCATGCAGTGTCCCAAACATCTTGTCAACAAATTGCCTGCTGTGCTAAGAGGCAGCAGTGGCTTGCTAACACACACTCGGCAATGAGGCAGGGGACACAGGGCTCAACAATGGTCCATAGAGCTCAAAGAGTGAGAAGTTTGGGCTCAGAGGTGCTCATGCTTTCCTGTGTGAACACAAGTACTAAGTTTCAAGCAAAACTATTATTCAAGCAATAATAGTTTACAAAAACTTAATACTTATTCTTTGTGATTTTCCAGTGATGCTTCTCTATTCTTTTGAAATGGCTGATATGGAGCAAGAAAAAGCACCAGAAGGAAAAAGTATTTGGAAAAGAATTTACCTTTGGTCTGCTTTGAATTAATAACAGAAGTCTTTTTACCAGCTACAACACTCTGCATCTTTATAATGGATGCAAGAGCTTCTGTACATGCTCCTCATTACCTTTTCACCACCTGGCCAGGTTTTTAATGTGTATCTCTAGAACTATCTGCACTCAATTTCCTTTTCCATGTTCTTACCTCTTTCACATCGGATGCTTGTTTAGTGCATCCTGCCACTCCAAACAGCCAAGTCTGACTGTTTCCTGTATTTACACATTTGCACATTGGCTTCTAACTTCCATGTAATGAGTACAGGCACAATGCAAGAGCCAGGGCAAGGCTCAGAGCCGGCCCTGTACAGCACAGTATCACTGTTTTGGCGCTGCCGCCACCCTTTGGTGCTGCTTCAGTGCCAGTCCCAGGTGAACAGCCTCGGAAATGACACCGCTTCCTGCGAGGTTCCAAACACAGCAACGCCCCGGTGCCCAGCAGGCGCTGTCCCGGCAGGGCGGGCCCCGCTCTGAGTCGCGCCCGGGGCTGGCGGGACAGCCAGGCCTGCGCGGCC